AGAAAATTATAGACCAATATCATTAATGAATATTGATGCAAAAATATTCAACAAGATCCAAATAAACAGAATCCAGCAACAAATTATAATCAAACAAATTATACACCATGACCAAGTGGGTTTTATCCCAGGGTCTCAAGGCTGGTTCAATATATGTAAATCTATAAATATAATTCAACATACAACCAAATTAAAAAACAAAGACCATATGATTCTCTCAATTGATGCAGAAAAAGCTTTTGGTAATCTCCAGCATCCTTTCATGATCAGAACACTTAAGAAAATGAGTATAGAAGGCTATCTACAGCAAACTAAATTGAAATCATTTCCACTCAGATCAGGAACCAGGCAAAGTTGCCCATTGTCTCCACTGCTTTTTAACATTGTATGGAAGTCTTAGCCATCGCAATCAGGCAAGAGAAGGCCACCAAAGGTATCCAAATAGATTCAGAGGAGATCAAACTGTCACTCTTCGCAGATGATATGATTGTTTATCTGGAAAACCCCAGGGAGTCAACTACAAAACTCCTAGACGTGATAGAGGAATACAGCAGTGTCTCAGGATACAGAATCAATACTCACAAATCTGTAGCCTTTATATATACCAACAATAGTCAAGGTGAAAAACCAGTCAATGATTCTATTCCATTCACAGTAGTGCCAAAGATGAAATATTTGGTAGTTTACCTAACAAAGGACGTGAAAGATCTCTATAAAGAGAACTATGAAACTCTAAGAAAAGAAATAGCTGAAGATGTTAACAAGTGGAAAAACATACCACGCTCATGGCTGGGAAGAATCAACATTGTTAAAATGTCCATACTACCCAAAGCAATATGTAATTTTAATGCAATCCCTATTATAGCTCCACTGTCATACTTAAAGATCTTGAAAAAATAAAACTTCATTTTATATGGTATCAGAAAAAAACTTCGAATAGCCAAGACATTACTCAGAAATAAAAACAAAGTAGGAGGAATCACACTATCAAACCTCAAACTATACTAGAATTCGATAGTGATCAAAACAGCATGGTACTGGCACAAAAACAGAGAGGTAGATGTATGGAACAGAATACAGAACCAAGAAATGAACCCAGCTACTTACCATTATTTGATCTTTGACAAGCCAATTAAAAACATTCAATGGGGAAAATATTTCCTATTTAACAAATGGTGCTGGGTGAACTGGCTGGTGACCTGTAGAAGACTGAAACTGGATCCATACCTTTCACCATTAACTAAGATAGACTCTCACTGGATTAAAGATTTAAACTTAAGACATGAAACTATAAATATACTAGAAGAAAGTGCAGGGGAAACACTTGAAGAAATTGGCCTGGGTAAATATTTTATGAGGAGACCCCCTGGGCAATTGAAACAACACCAAAAAGACATTACTGGGACCTGATCAAACTAAAAAGCTTCTGCACAGCCAAGAACACAGTCAGTAGAGCAAGCAGACAGCCCTCAGAATGGGAGAAGATATTTGCAGGTTATGTCTCTGACAAAGGTTTAATAACCAGAATCCACATAGAACTCAAACATATGAGCAAGAAAAGAACAAGTGATCCCATCTCACAGTGGGCAAGGGACTTGAAGAGAAACTTCTCTGAAGAAGACAGGCATACAGCCTATAGATATATGAAAAAATGCTCATCATCCTTAATCATCAGAGAAATGCAAATCCAAACTACTCTGAGATATCATCTAACTCCAATAAGATTAGCCCACATCACAAAATCCCAAAACCACAGATGTTGGTGTGGATGTGGAGAAATGGGAACACTTCTTCACAGCTGGTGGGAATGCAAACTATTTGGAAAGATGTTTGGAGAACACTTACAGATCTAAAAATAGACCTGCCATTCATTCAATCCTACAATTTCTCTACTCGGTATATATTCAGAAGACCAAAAAGCACATTACAACAAAGATATTTGTACCAGTATGTTTACTGCAGTCCAATTCACAATTGCTAAGTCATGGAAGAAGCCCAACTGCCCATCAACCCATGAATGGATTAATAAATTATGGTATATGTACACCATGGAATATTATGTAGCCTTAAAGAAAGATGGGAGTCTTTACCTCTTTCATGTTTATATTGATGGAGTTGGAACATATTCTTCTTAGTAAAGTATCTCAAGAATGGAAGAAAAAGTATCCAATGTACTCAGTCCTACAATGAAACCAATTTATAGCTTTCAAGCTATAACATAATTATAGCCCAAGAATATGGGAAAAGGGGAGAGGGAGAGGAGAGGAGGGGAGGGAGGGTAATTGGTGGGACAACACCTACAGTGCATCTTACAAGGGTACATGTGAAATTTACTAAACGTAGAATATAAATGTCTTATACAATAATTAAGAAAATGCTGTGAAGGCTATGTTAACCAGTTTGATGAAAATATTTCAAATTGTATATAAAACCAGCACATTGTACCCCATGATTGTATTAATGTACATAGCTATGATTTAATATAAAAAAAAAAACTGCAATGAGATACCACTTCACACCCACTAGGATGACCATTAAAAATAAATAAAACAAAATAAGTGTTGACAGGGATATGTAGAATTTAGAACCTGCACACCTCACTGAGTGAAATGCAAAATGGTATAGTTGCTAAGGAAAACAGTCTGGAGGTTCTTCAAAATTTTAAACATGGATGTATATCCAAAGGACCAAAAATCATTTGGCAATAAAGATATTTGCACCAGATTGTTCACCACAGCTCAATTCATAATTGCTAAGTCATGGAAGAAGCCCAAGTGCCCATCGACCCATGAATGGATTAATAAATTGTGGTATATGTATACCATGGAATACTATGCAGCATTACAAAAAAATGAAGACTTTACCTCTTTATGTTTACATGGATGGACCTGGAAAATAAAGTATCTCAGGAATGGAAAAAAAAAAAATCCATTGTACTCAGTACTACTATGAAACCAATTTATAATCACTCACACTTTCATATGAGAGATGATTCACAACTACAGCCCAGGATGAAGGAGGTAAGGGGAGGGAGAGAGGAAAGGAGGGGGGGTGGGTCAATAGAGGGAGGGTTAGTAGGGGGACCACACCTATGAAGCATATTGCAAGTACAAGTTGAATCTATCAATAGAGGGAGGGTGAGTAGGGGGACCACACCTATGGAGCATACTGCAAGTACAAGCTGGATCTACAAACGTCTTAATCCTATAATTGGGTAAATGAGGTGAAGGCTATGTTGATTAGTAGGATGTAAGCACTCCAATTTGTACAAATAATCAACACACTGAATCCCATACTGGCATAAATGTACTTATGATCTATGTACAAATGACTTAATAAAAAATAAATAAAATAAAATTTTAAAAATGGAAGTAACCATATGACCCAGCAGTTCCACTACTAGGTTTATACCCCAAATAACTGAAAACAAAGCCTCAAACCGATACTTACACACCAATTTTAAAAGCAGTATTATTCCAATAGCTGAAAGGTGGAAACTACCCAAATGTCCATCAACAGGTGAATGGATAGGCTTGGTGCCTGTGGCTCAAGTGGCTAAGGCGCCAGCCACATACACCTAAGGTGGCAGGTTCAAATCCAGCCTGGGCCCGCCAAACAACAATGACGGCTGCAACCAAAAAATGGCCAGGCGTTGTGGCGGGTGCCTGTGGTCCCAGCTACTTGGGAGGTAGAGGCAGGAGACTCGCTTGAGCCCAGGAGTTGGAGGTTGCTATGAGCTGTGATGCCATGGCACTCTACCCAGGGGGACAGCTTGAGACTCTGTCTCAAAAAAAAAAAAACAAAACAAAACAGGTCAATGGAAACAAAATGTGGTATATTCATACGACAGACTACTCTTGAACCACAAAAAAGGAATGAAGTTCTAATGCTATAACATGGGTGAACCTTTAAAACATTATGCTAAGTAAAATAAGCCATACCCAGAAGGCCAAAACTATATGATTCCACTTATATAAGGTATCTAGAATAGGTAAATCCAGAGACAAAAAGTAGAATAGAAGTTACAAGAGACTGGAGGACATACTGGTGAATTATTGCTTAATGGGTAGAGAACCTGTTTGGGAAGATTAAAAAGTTCTGGAATAGTGGTGATGGTTAGGTATCACTGTGACTAACTATACTTAGTGCTGCTTAATTAAACACTTAAAAATAGTTAAAATGGGCTCAGCCCCTGTAGCTCAGCAGTTAGGAGCCAGCCATATACACCAAGGTTGGTGTGTTCGAACCCAGCCCAGGCCTGCCAAACAACAATGACAACAACAATAAAAAAATAGCCGGGCGCTGTGGCAGCCGCCTGTAGTCCCAGCTACTTGGGAGCCTGAGGCATGAGAATCGCTTAAACTCAAGAGTTTGAGGTTGCTGTGAGCTGTGACAACACAACACTCTACCGATAGTGACATAGGGAGACTCTGTCTCAAAAAAAAAAAAAAGTTAAAATGTAAATTTTACATTATGGAAATTTTACCACAATAAAAATAAAATCAGTTGAAAGAGATGATAGATACCGTTATGTACCATTATGCATTATTAAGCGTCCAGTACAGTGTCTGGCACATAGTAGTCTCTGAATCTGTGTTTACTAGCTCTTAATTCTTCAACATCCATCATTTTAAATTTTTCTTGGGGTTTTACACAAGAGATAAAGGATTAGGATTAAGCATTCGGTTAAGCCAAAATCAGGAGAATAGACCAGAAACAGGGTAATGATAAGGTATAAATTTAGCCTAGTACTGAAGCAGGACCAAACTAACAGCAAAAATAAATGCAGAGATCTGAAAGAGTTAAATATGCAGTCACTTGAGTTCTGTGAGTCCTTTTTCTCTCACTAGTTTCCAGTCCCAGTAGAGTTTCATTAGTTTCCAAGTAAGCATATCCAATATAAAACTACGATACAGTTGGTTAGCCATCGTTAGCCAAATACTCAGCCAGTGACAGCTTACTGTTTCATGAGAAAATGGTGAAGAAGATGAGAATCTTACCATCTCATAAGCAAATGTTTCTTGTCTGCAGACGCGATCAATTGTAATGGTTTCTTCCCGGTGTTCCAAGAATTTCTTTCTAACCCTGTTGTAAATATAACAAAAATCAAAGTTCAATATTCTTTATTGCAGCTTCAAAAATATTTTTTTCTTTTGATCTGTTATTTTTTCTTTTATTAAATCATAAACACATAGATCATGTATACATTAAGGAATTTACTGGGTACAATGTGCTGATTTCATATAGAATTAGCAGCATTTACATCACACTGATTAATACATACCTCATCTCGTTTACTTAATTATTATGTTAAGACATTTATACTCTATACGTAATAGATCCGACACGTACCCTTGCAATATGCACCATAGGTGTGATCCCACCATTCACCCTCTATCGATCTGACCTCCGCCCTTCCAACCCCGCCTCCTCCCTCCTTCATCCTGGGCCATAGTTGTGATCTATTCTTCATGTGAAAGTGTGAGTGACTGTAAATTGGTTTCATAATAGTACTGGGTACACTGGATATTTTTTCTTCCATTCTTGAGATACTTTACTAAGTAGGATTTGTTCCAGCTCCATCTATGTAAACATAAAAGAGGTAAAGGCTCCATCTCTTTTTAAGGCTGCCTGATATTCCATGGTATACATCTACCACAATTCATTAATCCATTCATGAGTTGATGGGCACTTGGGCTTTTTCCATGACTTGGCTATTATGAATTGAGCTGCAATGAACAATCTGGTGCAAATATCTTTGTTATAAAGTGATTTTTGGTCTTTTGGATATACACCTAGTAGAAGAACTGCAGGATCAAATGGCAGGTCTACTTTTAGATCCCTGACTATTCTCCATACTTTGTTCCAAAAGGGACATATTAGCTTGCACTCCCACCAGCAGTGCAGAAGTGTTCCCTTTTCTCCACATCCACGCCAACATCTGTAGTTTTGGCATTTTGTAACGTGAGCCACTCTTACTGGAGTTAGATGATATCTCAAAGTGGTTTTGATTTGCATTAAAAACATTTCATTTTTAACTAATTTTAGAGTTAAAATAGCAAAAATAGTAGAAAGACTTCCCTCATATCTTTTATTCACCTTCTTCTAAGTTAAATAAATACCTTATGTGATCATAGAAAAATTATCAAGAACAGGAAATTAAGCAAACAGACAACCTTCAGAAAGGGAAAAGATATTTGCATGTTACAAGTCTGATAAAGGGATGATAACTAGAATCCACAGAGAACTCAAATTAATCAACAAAAAAAAGAGCAAACATGGCCAGGTATGGTGACTCAAGGCTATAATCCTAGCACTCTGGGAAGCTAAGGCAGGTTGATCGTCTAAGCTCAGGAGTTAAAGACCAGGTGACCAAAGGCAAGAGCAAGACCCAATCTCTAAAATTAGTCAGGTGTTGTGGTGGGTGCCTGTAGTCCCAGCTACTTGGGAAGCTTTGGCAAGAGGATCTATTGAGCCCAAAAGTTTGAGGTTGGCCACATCTCTGAGCTGTGATGCCATGGCACTCTACCAACGATGACTCTGTCTCAAAAAAAAGGAGCAAACAATCCCATCTATCACTAGGCAAGGGACATGAACAGAACATTTCCTGAGGAAGACAGATGAATGGCTAACAAACATAAAAAAAATGCTCATCATCCCTGATAATCAGAGAAATGCAAATCAAAACCTAACCCTAGAGAGAACAACCCACGTCACAAAGTCCAAAGTTGCAGATACTAGCACAGATGTAGAGAGAGGTGAACACTTTTATAGTGTTGGTGGGACTGCAAACTAATATAGCCTCTTTGGAAAGAATGAAGAATCCTCAAAGAAATCAAATTAGACCTCCCATTTGATCCTGCAATCCCAATACTAGGCATTTACTGAGAAGAAAAAAAATCATTTTATCATAAGGACATTTGCACTAGATTGTTTACTGCAGATCAATTTACAATTGCCAAGATGTGGAAAAAACCCAAATGCCCATCGAACCAGGAATGGATTAACAAACTGTGATATATGTATACCATGGAATACTATGCAGCCATAAAAGTGGAGACTTTAGATGTTTTGTATTAACCTAGATGGAGGTGAAACACATTTTTCTTAGTAAAGTATCACAAGAATGGAAAAGCAAGTATCCAATTACTCAACACTAATATAAAGCCAGGAGATAATCTAATATATGCTCATATAGGAGAAAAATGTAATTCAATTCAAGCTGGAGGGAGGGAAGAAGAGGGGATTGGTGTGCTCCCACTTAATGGACTCAAAGTAACAATATCGACACACCTTTTGAGTACAAGACACAACTACAGGAGGGACTCTATCTAACATATGCAAATATTGTAACACAGTTGTTTGTACCCTCATGTTAACTGAAATTTAAAAAAAACAGTAAATTAACACTTACACAGTATTATTAGCTACAGACCCTTTTCAAATTTCACACAATTTTTAATTTAATGCCTTTTCTTTTTCTGTTCCAGAGTCCTACTCAGGATTCCACATGGCATCAGTTGTATTTCCTTAGTCCCCTCAAGTCTGTTGTGGTCCCTCATTTTCTCCTTGTTTTTCATGATCTTGACATGTTCAAAGATCACTGATCAGTTATTTTACAGAATGTCCTTTAATTTGGGTTTGGTTGCTGTTTCCTAATGATTGGAATAAATTTAGCATTTTTTGGCAAGAACACCATAAGCCTAATGTCCCTCTGAGTACATCAAATCAAAAAAGTCATGATGTTAATGTGTCATATTACCAGTGATGTTTACCTTGGTTAAGTTCCTGTCTGTCAGATCCCACCATTAGAAAGATACTTTACTATGAATTCGATATTTTAGGGGGTGGTAATTTTAAACTGTGCAAATCTTATTTCTCCTCAAACTTCACCCAGGAATTTTAGCATTCATCAGCACATTCTATCTATAACATTTATTACTCTGGTAAACATGGTTTATGGCTAATGGTATTTTCTTTCCCTTCTACATTTATTCACTGGTATTCTATAATAAGGAAGACCTGTCTCTTTCTTCTCATTTGTTTATTTATTTGATCATTTTTAACTCAAATTATTCTAGCTCTGGTCATTAGGAGTTCCTTCAGGTTGGTTCCTATTCTTTAAACAAGCCCTTTATTATTATTATTTTAACATGTCCTTATTTTCTGATACTACAAGATGCTCAAGGCTCATCCATACAAACACACACACACACACATTTTCAACCAGCCATCTCCAGTATATGGGGCTAGCGCCCTACTCCTTTAAGCCAGAGGTGCCACTCATCCTGGGATCAACTACTTCTAGGAGGACTAGATCCTTCACTGTAGAGAGGTATTTAGAAACTGGCATATGAGTACTAGGTGTTCTCATTGTTATTGTCACTGCTTCTGTGTCTCAGCCGAGTTAGGCAGGAAATACATTTATACCAACCTGTCCATATCTGTATTTCTGCATTTTTGTTACTTGTTTAAAACCATGTACTCATACTGATACTTCTGATCCTCAAAACCACAGGATTCATTTTAGCATTTAACCTTTCCTTATTTACAACTTCCTTCTCCAAAGTGAGAAACCCAGCTCTCATTACTGGCAAGCTATTAATTTGTACGTTCCATTCTAGTAAATGCATAAATGAGTTAAAAAATTGCTAAACTATACTCCTATGAGAAACACTACTGACTTATAAATAGTTATTTTTGTCTTCAGCCTTACCCTTACATATTATATCAGGATATGCCATTAATGCTCACTTTGACAGCACATATACTTAAAAAAATAAAAAGGAACAATTTGGGGAAGAGAGGGCATAGACTCTGAGCAAAGATGACAAATTCATAAACCATTCTATAAAAATAAAAAAAGATATGCTTTTATACAGGCATAGATTAGCTCTTTCTTCCCCACCCTCTTCAGTGTTTTTATATCATTCATTTGTAATACAATTAGGATCACTAGTTTCTGTATTCTATTTTTTTTTTTTT